TCTCCAGCACACAGAGAGCTCAGCTGCTGCTCCCTGCCTTGCTCAGGAAGGAGCTGCTGACCTTGGAAATTACAGACCTCCCCAGAGCACTGGGTTTGCTGCCAGTGCTTGATCCACCATGGAAATTCTGCAGGAAATAACCTCCTTCTCCTCCTCCTCCTCCTCCCTGGCACCACAGCCAGAAAGGCCATGCAGGGATGAAAATAAACCCCTCATTCTGGCTAAATACCATGYGAGCTGGCAGAGCCCTGCAGCTGTTTTGGCAACAGCCCCAAATGACCCTCCCAGGCCCAGCTTTCTCAGCCAGAGCAGGATGGCGAAGCGCAGCACAGGAATTCGGAAATTTTCTTAGCAATCAGAAAAGGGAAGAGAGAGAGGGGCAGCCACAGTGATGACAGATATTGCACATTCCCACCTCTGTCCTGTCCCTGAATGATGGGATGGTTTCAAACATCAGCACTCTTCTCCAGACCATCTCAGAGCCACTGTTTGCACCAACACAGTTTTTCTTGATGRTTTAAACAGCCAGGCCTCACACTCTCCACTTTTTCCCATCAATGCTCGTTCTCTGGCAGAGAACACRGCTGAAGAAGTTTGATTTCCATTTCCCATCCAGTCCCTGCACATCTGGAGCTGCTGCTGTGGTGTGGATTTGCAGAAATGCCGCGGGACGCACACAGAACCACCCAGGGCAGAGCCTCACAAAGTTTTTTTTTTCTTTTTGCAAATCCTTGCAAGAAAGCCTCTGGCTCCCGAGTCTTGGAGCAAACATTTCACACAGCTCTGAGCCCTGGGCGTCAACTGACAGCAAAGTGTTTCCTCCTCAGAAARCTCTGCCTCCAGGAGAGCTGCAGCTTCACAGCTCTTCTCTCTTCTTTTGGTTTTTTTATTTTTTTTTTTTTTTCAAGTGTCCCATTTCCCAGCAAATCCCCTGAGCTCCCCATTTCTCATCCTTGCAGGTTGACGCCCTACGAGTGGTACAGCCCCCACCCCTGCTCCCAAGGTCGATGCAACCTCCTGGTGAACCAATATTCCCTGGGGAACTCTCTGTGGTTTCCYGTTGGGGGGTTCATGCAGCAGGGCTCCACCATCGCTCCCCAGGCGCTGTCCACGCGCTGCGTCAGCGGAGTCTGGTAAAAACCTCCTTCCCTTCCCTTCTGGAATGTTCCTCTGGGCACTAGTGGAGGTGGAGGAGGAATTTCTTCATGGAAAGGGGTTGTTGAATGTTGGAAGGGGGTGTCCAGGGAGGTGGAAATGGAATTTAAAGCGCTGGTGTGAACCTGGAAAAGGGGGAAAAAAGGCTTTTAAGAGCTGGGACTCATGAGAAGCTTCCCAGTGCTTAAAGGGGAAGCTGTGGAGATGTTTKGRGGATGCCAKGACCGATTTTGYGATTTGGGMTGGAAAAKAAAGGATTCTGTGAGCTATGGGAACATTTCTGAGGATGGCTGGGTGTGGTTTTTGTTTGTCCAGGTGACAGCATGGGGATCGATGRTTTTCAGAGGGATTTTCCAATCGCAGTGATTCTGGGATTCTGAGAGGTGAAGGCTGGGAATGGAGACCAGATTTCCTCAGGAAAACCTCATCCTCTCTTCCCTCTCCCTAGGTGGGCATTCACCTTGATCATCATCTCCTCCTACACGGCCAACCTGGCAGCGTTCCTGACCGTGCAGAGGATGGACGTTCCCATCGAGTCCGTGGATGACCTGGCTGACCAGACCACCATCGAGTACGGCACCATCCACGGCGGCTCCAGCATGACCTTCTTCCAAGTAAACCCCRTTCCTTGGCTGCCTGGGGGGCAGGGAATGCACAGGGCACCCCTCATCTAAATTTGGGTGTCCCCCCAGCCTGCTGTGCCCGTGTCACCCCAATTTCTGGCACCTCTGGAGAGGTCCCTCCACATGACCCACAGAGGGTGATGAATGGTGGAGGGAAGGGAAAGAATTGGACATGGAAATCACATTTTTTCCACATGATTTTAGCTTTTATTTGAGAGTCTTTCAGGTGAGGTAAACAAAGAAACATTTGCAGAGCTCAGGCAGGTCAGAAGTCAAAATGCTGGAGCCTGGGTGAGGTTAGGGGCATTGAAAATAAATAAATTGAGTGTATGCAAAGTTTAGCCCAGTTTAATTTTTATCTTCCCAGCTCTGCTCAGGAGGGAAATCAAGGAGTGAATCTTTTCTGCAGAGCTCTGAACGCACAGAGAACTGCTTGAGGATTATTTATTTATTACTTGTTGAAATTCYGAAAGGAGAGAAAGCTTGTTCTCACTTTTTCCCCCCACTCTGAATTTGGAAGGCTGGGAAATCTCTGGAGCGAGCCTGAGCTTTTCAAACCAACTTTAAGCTCTGCAGGGGTTTGGAAAAGAGCTACTTTTAAGCTAAACTTTACATCTAAAATGGGCTGAGCAGAGCCTGAGTGAGTAAGGTGGTTGTACACGAGGGGGTCTCTTAAGCAAGGCTTTCAAGTTTAAACCCCTGGCMGTGTCCCTGCACTGCCTGGCGTGTACTGGAGTCCTTGGGATCAGAGAGGAAATCAGGAAAAGATGGTTTTGTCCCAATTTTGGTGCTTTAAGCTGTGTTGGGATCATTTTGCCCCCGGTGTAAGGACGGAGAGGTCAAAGCAGTGATGGATTACACAGTCTGCCTGCATCACCCCTCCCTGCCCAGCTTTGTGAGATGTTTGTCCCCTCCTTGTCCCATCCCCTGTCCTGGCAGTGCCTCCCCTGGCACTGACACACAGTTTGGGGTTTAAAAACACAGCGAATCGGGAACAAACACCCGCCCTGCTCATCTGTCTCCTGCCCAAGCGGCTGCMCCCAGAGGACAGAGCTGGACAGAAGAGGACAGGAACTGGGTCAGCAGCAGATTCCCTGAGGCTCTCCAGCATCACTCACCAGCCAGAGAAAACGAGGCCCTGACAGTGTGAAAATCCTCGTGTAGAGCAGGGGTTGTTTGTATTCAGCCCCTGTGCCAGCAGGTTTCACTCCTTGCTCAGCGCAGGCAGGAGAGATTAATCATTCTCAGCTTTCTTTTCATCTGACCAAGGTGGTTCAGCCACCAGCAAACTCTGAGGATTTGGGGCTGGTTGAGCTTTAGTTCATTGTAATCACTGAAAAAAAAACCCACAGTTCTTTTCAGCAGGTGCTTTAATTCACTTCACAAGGGGGTGAACCAAAATCTGGATTATTTTTTGAAGAAAATTTGCGAGCAACGAGCTTCAGAGAGCTTTGGTGCTGCTGCCAGCCCTCAGTGCTGTCCTCAGGGTGTTGGAGTCTGGCTCTGACATTGAWGATCTGTTGGGACAATGTTAGAGGGATGGTTAGCAGGGTGTGAACTGTGCAGGGAGCACCCAGAGGTTTCAATCAGCCAAGCACCAGCTATTTCTTCTGGCTTTTTTTGTGTGTGTTTTTGATACACGGTTACCAAAACTATGATTTTCTTTAAAAAAATCAAATTTACACAAAGAGTTTTGCCAGACCCTGTTGGAATTGGGGCATTTCTTACCCAGCTTTGCCAACAAACTCCCAACATATTTRGGCCTCTTTGAGCTAAATGAAGACGAGGCACCAAAATTCTGAAATCTGATTTGATTTCTTTCTCCACTGTGGGTTTTCACAGCGGCGCCTGATTTGGGGGTTTAATTTTGAGGGCTCTAATTTACCCCAAACCTCCTCCCTGAGCTGTGACCGCCTCTTTCTCCTTCCCAGAACTCCCGCTACCAGACGTACCAGCGGATGTGGAACTACATGTACTCCAAGCAGCCCAGCGTCTTCGTGAAGAGCACGGAGGAAGGGATCGCGCGCGTGCTGAACTCCAACTACGCCTTCCTGCTGGAGTCCACCATGAACGAGTATTATCGGCAGCGCAATTGCAACCTCACGCAGGTCGGGGGCCTTCTGGACACCAAGGGCTACGGGATTGGCATGCCCGTCGGTAGGCAGTGAAGAACAATTCTAGTCCTTCTCAGCTGTCGGCAGAGGACCGGAGCGTTCCAAAGGCTGCGCCGGCTCTGAAAGCCAACGTTGCATCTCACGGCTCTGCCCAGGGTCCTTTTTGTTCCTTAYGTGTTGCCCATGCTYRGAGCCAGATGTGTGAGACCCTGCTCTGGTCCAGAGCCAGATGTGTGAGACCCTGCTCTGGTCCAGAGCCAGATGTGTGAGACCCTGCTCTGGTCC